GGCTCAATCCCTAACATGGCCAAATAAATAAATAATCTAACTAAAGAGCTTAGAAATATGTTATTTTAAATTGTAAAATAATAATTGATTGATTGATTGATTGATTGTACTGAGGATTGAACCCAGGGGTGCTAAACCACTGAGCCACATCCCCAGCCCTTTTTATGTTTTATTTGGAGACAAGGTGCCACTTAATTGCTCTGGGTGGCCTTGAAGTTGTAATCCCCCTTCCTCAGCCTCCAGAGCCCCTGGGATTACAGGCATGTGCCACCATCCCCTGCTCCTAAGAGCTTCTTAAGACTTACCAGAGCCAGGCATGGTGATGCATGCCTGTAATCCCAGTGGCTCGGGACGCTGAGGCAGGAGGATCACAACTTCAAGGACAGTTGAGCAACTTTGTGAGACCCTGTCTCTAAAGAAAAAATAAAAAGATTTTTAAGCGCTGCTTCTAGAAAACTACACACTTCCATAAAACTGGGTTTTGTATTTGTATTCTAGCACCTAGAACACTCCTGGAGGCAAAGGAAGTACTGAATGAGCATCAGCAGAAGACATAAAAGTGCCACACCGAGCAATCAGCCTCAAAAGCCATTTCTGAATTGGCACCAAGCTTGTCACAGGAGCAGATCTACAAGCCCAAGAACCAAGACAGAGGCAGAAAGGTTCCTCCAGACTGGGTTGAGCTGGGGAAGCAGCTGCTGTTTACTCAGTCACCACCACAGCCACTGCTCTGTTTCGGTTGTCAGTCAAAACACAGGTCTCAGAACACAGAAAAGCAAGCGTGACCTCTGTTGCAGGCAGAGCAGAATGGAACAGTGTCTCAGCGTCACAGGGAGGTGTCTGCCCAAGGACAAGCAGCAGCACAGAGGGAATGGAAATGGAGAAGGAGCAAGTGGGACAGCTCTGCCTAAGTGCAACTCACCTCTTGTGACCCTGTTTATCCCTTTCTTAGTTTTGTCCCCAATTTAAATCCTGTTTTGAAAACAAAGGCCTCAACTGTTCCTGTCTCCGCTCAGTGAACACGGCCATAGTTCTTACCTCCAAGTCACACCTACTCCTGAGAATCTTACCTTACCCAAACACTGACCGTGGTGATTACCACAGGACATATTATTACCAAGAACCAAAATTTAATACTTCAAGAGCGTCCCCAACAAGTTACGGTGGGGTTTCAGAAACTTTCATGTCATGTCATCAAAGTGAGAATCATGAACTCTGAAAATTAAAGCTGATTACCTCTTTGGATACAAAAAACAAAAAACATTAAACATATTACAAAGTACAAAAGGAGGAGGCATCTCTAGAAGAAAAACAAACTCTTGTTCCAAGTAGCAGGACACTTGTCCTAACAAGAGGGCAAAGCAATTCCTTCTGGAATTTATAGTCCCAGGAACTAAAGCTGCTCCAGCCAAAAGGAGGTCCAGTCACGGGCTTTGAAGGGCTTTGAGCTTCAAAAACAAGCTCCAAGATGGAGGTTCAGATTTCTCAAAGCCAAAGTTGGATTCTACAACAAAGAGAAGCTCTGCTTTACTTCTCACAAGCAGGCAGAGAGCCAGTGATTCTGACTCCAGGTTGACCCCTCAGCACTTGAGCTCTGAGCTTCTTAGGCTGCACAGCCTGGAACTGCTCCTCACCAGCATCTCTCCTTCATGTGACTATCAAAATCTCAACCGCTGTTCAGCAAGCTCCTGAGATGTCCTAGGATGTCCCCGGGCCCAGCTGCAACTTCATAACAGGACTTCCTCAAACTCTCCCTGGAGGTTGAAGGGTGGAGGGAACTGCTTTGTGGCACAGCAGTGAGGTCCTCAACAGTGTTCAGTGAGGGTCTCTGGAGGGAGTCCAGCAGGTTCCCATGGAACCTGAACCCAGGAAGCAAATACTAGGATGGCTTCTGGCTCCCCGGCTACCGTCTCAGTTGGTGGTGAGCTCATTTGACCACTCTGTACTTCTTTATCTGCAGCCCTAGGGAAACTTCAGTCTCCATCCTGGAACTCTGCACATATTTCAGACTCCCAGGCACAATTACAAAAGTCAAGGTCAGCTAAAACAGACCAAAAAGATCCACCCTGATCTCGTGGATCTTGTCCAGACCCAGGTTGTGTAAGCTTTCCAAATTTAACAAGGTTTTCTTAAAAAGCTACTAGAAATTTTATTTTTGTTTTCTTTTTGCTGGATCAATTGACACAATTGAGAAAATGTGCGAATGGTTTGCCAAAATGAGAAACAGTTTTGTTTTATCGTTGAGGAGGCGCTGTACCAGCGATGGAACCCAGAGGCGCTTAATCATTGAGCCACATCCCCAGCCTTTTTTAAATTTTGAGACAGGGTCTCACTAAGTTGCTTAGGGCCATGACAAGTGGCTGAGGCTGACCTTGAACTTGGGATCCTCCTACCTCAGTCTCCCAAGTCCATGGGATTAGCAGCACTTGCCACCAATCCCAACAAAGAGAAACATGGATTCTTTTTTTGTTGTTCTTTTTAGTTATATATTATAGTAAAATCTGTTTTGGTATATTTATATAAGCACGGAATATATCTTATTCTAATTAGGATCCCAGTATTGTGAATGTATACAATGTTGAGATTCACTATGGTGTATTCACATATGTACACAGGAAAGTATAATAAATCTGACAAAACTATCTTTCCTATTGAGAAACGTAGATTTTTTAGTTGTTAAGTATTTGTAGTTGTAGATGGATACTTTATTTTTATGAGGATCGAACCCAGTGCCTCACATATGCTAGGCAAGCACTCTGCCACTGAGCTACAGCCCCAGCCCCAAGAAGAAACGTAGATTCTTAACAGCAGAAAGAATGAAGGACCTTGCATGTACTTCCTGGCATTCTATCTGACATTAGGCTACAACAGTGAGAATCGTATACACAAACAGGAGTGGGACTTTAAAATCATGGGTGCTTGCTTCTTCCAGCCGTCTTTACAAAACATTTTCCAGATCCATAAAACAATTGATAAAGATGTACCAAAACAGAGAAAAACTCCCCATCTACTCTACAATCTGTTCTACCTCCCTACAACTCTCAGAGCTGCTTAGAAGAGCAGGGGCTAAGGCTAAAAAAAACAACAAAACATCCCTCTGCTTTAGGATCATCCTCCTCCTCCAGTACCAGTAAAAGGGAGCATGTCAGAATCCTAGCAGTTCAGAACTCCCACCCTTTGGGTGTATGACAGCCCCAGGACTTTCAAACAGCTGAAACGGAAAGGGAGTATAGCACACAGTAATCCCAGCTACTAGGGTGGCTCAGGCAGGAGGATCACAAGTTCAAGCTCAAGGCCAGGCTGGGCAACTCAGTGAGACTCTGTCTCTAAGTATAAAAAATGAAGGCCTAGGGATGTGGCTCAGTAGTAGACCATTTGCCTAGCATACATGCCATTCAATCCCCTGCCTCAGTCTCCCAAGTCGATGGGAAAAAAAAGTGTTCAAATGACAGAAATTTCTGAATTCTCACATCGGGGTATATCCAATAACACCATTACAATGACCCTTCTTAAAAAATATTTTTTAGTTGGTGACAGACCTTTATTTCATTTATATGTGATGCTGAGACTCAAACCCAGTGCTTCACACATGCTAGGCAAGCGCTCTACCACTAAGCTACAGCTATAGCCCTACAATGATCCTTTCTAAGGTTCATCTTTTTCATGAACATCCCTCCCAGAGTTCCATAGCAGGAGTGTTGATATTTAGGATCCCTCTCACCTCAGTCTCTCAAATCTGTTTCCTGGACAACTAACAGAGGTAAGCACTAATCAGTTGCCCTGCATTTACTAGTTCTCAGCGCCTAGTTACCTCTTCTCTAAAAAGTTTCCCTGACCTATTTTCTAATGGCCTTAAACTAACCTTAAGGTTATCAAATAGTTTACTTGTGAAAAGACCTTGTAGGTTGGATATTCTGGGGAGTGTACCAGCCCTCATATTATCTGGGGTTTCTGCTCAGTCAATAGGGTACTCATGCCCAAATGTAAGTTGTTACCAACCTAAATGATGAAAAGGGCGGTGCTGCTGCAGTTTGGATGTGGTTTACCTCTGAGGGTTCACGGTTAGAAGCAAGGACCCCAGTGTGATATTAAGAGGTGGTGGGGCTGGGCACCATGGTTCACACCTATAATCCCAATGACTCCAGAGGTTGAGGCAGGAGGATCATAAGTTTGAGTCCAGCCCCAGCAATTTAGCAAGGCCGTGTCTCCAAAATAAAGAACTGGGGATATGGAAGTCATCAGGCTACCGAAGTGATGCCTTGGGAAAAAATGGATATTGACCTTCTGGTGTGAAATGGTTGTTCTGGAGAGTGAGCTGTTGTGAGAGAGAGACTGTTTCCTGTCTCAACACATTATCAATGGATCCTGCACAATCTTCTGCAGCTGTAATGCCATCCACCAAGAGGTCCTCAGCAGAGGCAGGGCCATGCCCTTGAGCCTCCAAAACTGAACTGAATAAGCCTCTTTCTTTATAAATGACCCAGGCTCACAAATTTTGCTATGGCCACAGAAAACAAACAGGTACCTTGACTAAAAAAGAAATATCCAGTCAAGGAAAGCAAAAAATTGGGTACAACTGAAGCGATCAACAGGTAAATGATTAAAAGTATTGGCAAGCAGTCCGTGGAATATTATACAGCCTTGTAAACAATGAAGCAGGCCTGAATACCTAAGTGAAGTCATCCATAATATATCACATGTAATCAAGTAACAGATGAATAGTTATATGATCCCATTTGAGGAAATTAAAAATATATACACATAAGCATATGTAACCTGACCTATTCAAAAACAATATCTGAAGGTTATCAAATAGTTTACTTCTGAACGGCAGGAACACTAGAAGAAATGGGGAACATTCCTCACTGTTTCTCTGCATTTTATTTATTTATTTATTTATTTTTAATATTTATTTTTTAGTTCTCAGCGGACACAACATCTCTGTTGGTATGTGGTGCTGAGGATCGAACCCGGGCCGCACGCAYGCCAGGCGGCGCGCTACCGCTTGAGCCACATCCCCAGCCCTGTATTTTTTTTCTTAACTACAAGTATGTGTCACTTTCACATCAAGACGGAGAAAAACTTTTCTGGTTTCCCCTCCCACCCCAGACCTTTCTGAGTGGAAATCCCTAAACCACTCAGAAAACACCTTTTTTTTAAAAAAAAATTGTTCTAGTTCCCAGCACCAGGCCTTCACAAACCTGGCTTCTAGAAATAGTCTCAATGGTTAGTAAGACCATTTTCAAGGTCAGATCTAAAAGATGGACTAGCTCCACAGGTGACCTATCCTATAAACCCGACCAGTTCTGCCCCAGCTCTCTTCATTATCAGGAGCAGCTGCTAACGCTGTTGCATTTGAGGGACAGACACCCAGAACCTTTCCTTCACCCAACCCTCGGGATAACCCACGGGGCAGACACTGTCATCGCCATTTACAGAGAAGCACACTGAGACATGGAGTAAGGGGCCCCCTCAAGGTCACAAAACTAGAAGGCAATGCAACGGCTCAGTCCAATAACAAAAGGCCTGGACTCCTCCCGTCGCACTGCCCGGACTCAGGGGCCCAGGGTGGAGGCCGAAATGGGCTTCCGGGGTTCCACTTCCGGCGGAGGGGAAGCGAAATGCAAGGTCACGCCAGACCGAGGGGGCCACAGGTCGCAAGGGCAGGGCCTCCCCACTCCTAGAGCTGCCACCCCCAGGCCGCCGGCTCGCAGCTACCAGGAGCGAGGGAGGATGAAGAAGGAAGGAGGGGGGAAGCGTTCACCCGCGCAGGTGCCACGCCGGAGGGCGGGGAACCGGGCGGAGAGGACCACAACAACACCCAAACCAACGACGGCATCCAGGAAAGGAACACCACCTCAGGCCCCGAGCTCGATGGCGCACCGCCGGAACCGGAAGCCGCACCCCCGGAAGTTGGGGAGACTAGGTTAGAGGGACTAGGCCTCTCTAGGCCTCGGCGGTGTTCGCCAACTTTATGATTTTAACCCTTGCTGGTCTCTGGGCGTCTTGGGTCCTCATGCCTCCCGACCGCKCGGGTACAGCCGAGGCCGCTTTCTTGCAGGGGAGAAGTTCTTCGTATTTCGGAGCCGCAGTTTGCCCAGTTACAAAATGGGAAGAAAGGAGCGGGAATTGAGATCCTCTGCGAGCCCGCCTGCCGCTGAGTCAGCGCGCCCCACCCTGAGGTTCCACCCTTGGGCCTTTGTACCACCCAAAGGAAAGAAACCAAAAAGAGAGGCTGCAGGCTGCTATTTGGAGACTGTGGTCCAGTGCGGCGCACCTGGTGGAGTCAGTCCAGACGACGCAGGGCCCAGTCTATAAAATAGGCCCTGCCTCTTTGTACCCAGACAGCAGTGGGCGTATGCTCGGGAGGTTTGACCGTCTGTCCAGGAAGGGACCCTCTGTGTATAGGACGCTAAATCTTAGCCCTATGTGTCTCTGCCCGAGGTCTTTCCAGTTGCTACCAGGGTAGGCACGCTAGCCTCATGTTTAAGAAATRAAGCTTTACGTGGGTTCAGTGGCATGCGCCTGTGATCCCAGCGATTTTTCAGGAGGCTGAGGAAGGAGGATTGCAAGTTTGAGGCCAGCTTCAGCAACTTAGTAAGACCTTGTCTCAAGACTTAAAAAATAAAATGTACTGGGAATGTAGCTCAGTGGAATACCATCCTGGGTTCAATGCCCAGTACAAAGTACAAATGTGTGTGTGTGTGTGTGTGTGTGTGTGTGTGTGTGTGTGTGTATGATCATCTAGAGACATCGTAGCCATCTTAGTAAGCAGAATATACTTCAGGATATTTGAGCAACAACATCACCCGATGCATTCCTGTTCATATCTCTCTGGTTAAGAGTTTATTTTCTATCTTAGGCTGAGGTTGTGGCTCAGTGGTAGAGTGCTCACCTAGCACATGTGAGGCCCAGGGTTCRATCCTCAGCACCATATAAAAAAAATAAACAAATTTAAAAAAATAAAAATGAATCATGCAACTTTAAAAAAAAAAGAGTTTATTTTCTGTCTTACTGCTGGAAGTAGATCAACAGGACCAGGGACCATCAAGTCCCCAGCACTTAAAACTGAGCATAGACAGTAAGCATTGGTTGAATTAATGAAGGAAAAGAGATACAGAGAAGAGTTTTATGATAAAGCCAATCTGATACAGATCACCAGCAACCTAGCTGTGATTTCACAGAATTAGGTTTCTGAACTTGATGTAGCAAGGGAAACAGCACACCAAAGAAACTGGAGTGTCTCCCCAAAAGAAAGGGAAGGGTGGGCTGGTGTGATGGCCCACACCTGTCATCCCAGCGGTTTGGGAGGCTGAAGCAGGAGGATCGCAAGTTCAAAGCTAGCCTCAGCAATGGCAAGGCGCTAAGCAAGTCAGTGAGACCCTGTCTCTAAATAAAATACAGAATAGGGCTGGGGATGTGGCTCAGTGGCTGAGTGCCCCTAATTTCTTTTTATTTATTTATTTATTTATTTATTTTTTAGTTTTCGGCAGACACAACATCTTTGTTTGTACGTGGTGCTGAGGATCCAACCCGGGCCCCACACATGCCAGGTGAGCCCCACGCATGCCAGGCCATGGGAGCGCTCTACCGCTTGAGCCACATCCCCAGCCCCCTAATTTCAATTTCAATGCCTGGTACCCGCCTCCCCCCACCAAGAAAAAAAAAAAAAGAAAAAGAAAGGGAAGGGTGGAGTTGAGGTAAAATTAAAATGAGTCGGGTGGATGGGCGCAGAGCAACCCTGGCAGTGAGTAAAGGGTCTAACATCTGGCTTGGACTAAAAATCAGACTAACAGTTCTGTTTCCTTGGACACCACCAAGTTAAAATAAATATAGACTGTAGTTCAGAAGCCTCTTTTCTGAAGCTCTGCACCTGGGCTGGAAATCTAGGCTGCTTCTCTTATGTTGAATCCGGCTCCAACCAACGAGGCAAGAGTGGGGTGTTCTGTTCTCAGGGATGTGATTCTAAACAGCAGAGTTTCCAACAGTCTCTGACTTTAGACAAGGTTTCTCAGCACTGTGTCTTTGAGACTGATTAACAAAAGAAAGTTTGTCAGAGTCACATTTGATGGGCATCCCTGTCTGCCTCTGTCATCTGGTGAACGGGCCATTGAGACTTCCAGTCTTCTGGCCCCAATGTGACCCATCTCCTGGGGCCCCTCATCGTCATAGGTCTCCAKTAGAACGTGGAGCCAAGTCATGACCCTTGCTTGGGGGGATCCAGCATCCTAGCTCGGGTCATCTTCCTGTGTCTCCCAAACCCGACACAGAAAACCGGTAGGTATGCAGCCCGTGTCCAGTAAATCTGGTTGCTGGTGGGTTTTCTAAATGCAAAGAAAAAGAAGTGGAAGCAATAAGCAAATGGGTGAAAGCTGTAAGAGAAGTGGGAAAGGGGGTGACTTGGGAGGGGGATACCAGAAATTGAACCCAGAGGTGCTTTACTGCTGAGCTACATCCCCAGCCCTTTTTATTTTTTTAATTTGAGAAATTTCACTAAATTGCTGAAGCTGGCCCTCCTGCATCAGCCTCCCAAATTGCTGGGATTACAGGCATGTGCCACAGTACCCCATAACAGAGTTAATTATTTATTTGTTTATTGGTACTGGGGATTGAACTCGGGGGCACTCGACCACTGAGCCACACCCCCAGCCCTATTTTAGAGACAGGGTCTCACTGAGTTGGTTAGCACTTCCCTTTTGCTGAGGCTGGCTTTGATCCTCCAGTCTCAGCCTCCCATGCCACCGGGATTACTTACAGGCGTGCACCACCATGCTCAGCTGGAGTAACTTTTTGAGAGCTCTATTTTCCAAAGTCAACGTGTCTAAACTATGGCCAATATTAATGTTCCAGGAAAGGAAAAAGAAACAAATAAAATGGAATCGTTGACTTTTACGATTAAACGAATGGCTCCTTTGACACTTTGATGATTTTTAACAGGAGAATGAAATTGTTAGCATCAGGCATTAAAGAGAAAGCATCCCAGTGCTGACCCTTTACCATCTTTAAAAGATGCCTTTTTTAATGGAGATTGTTGATTTTTCATGATTTAGAAAGCAAAGTGAGAATTGTTGTTGTTGATGACTCCAATTGTTACCCCAAAACTTAAATTATTGACTAGATGGTCTTTAAAAGATTTAAATTGTTGAGATTTGGAGATTTAAGGATAGGAAGACTGGATGGTCCAATTGTTGAGTTTTAGGAAAGATTCCTTGACTCTCTGCCGCCCTTGTGTGGCCCTTAGAGGGTCATAGCAGGCCCTAGCCTCCCCCAGTGGCTGGGTGGAGGCCCCTGGGCCCGCAGCTTGGTCACAGTGTGGGATCACACAGGACTCACTTCCCTTCATTCTGAAACTGTTTTGGAAAATTATCCAAGGGCCCCTCCCTGGGCTGTGGGGAGGAGAGGACTCGGGCTTTGCAGCCCGCCTGCAGTCGACCRCACCTGCTTGGCTCTGTGGTCGGACTCAGTAAAAATGATTCATGTGTGTGTGGTTCCAGAACTTCCTCTCGCCCTCCCCCACACCCCCACGATGCAGAAGTCTCCTTCCTTGCCTGCCCTCGCTCTGGCCTTGCCAGACCAGTTCTTGGGTTTTGTAAGAGCCAGAGTAGAGCTGAGGGCTGGAGGAAAGTTTTGTGGAGACGGTTGAAATCCCACGAGTGGCCTTAGGAGAAAAATGTGGGCAGTTTGTCATGTGTGGGGGCAGTGTTAGAGAAAAGGGAAAAGAGGGGATTTTAGGAAGTATTGTTGATACAATCATTTTGAAGAACCATTTGGTAATTGGTAAAGTTGAAAATGAGTACACCCTCCCACTCAGCAATCCCATTTCTTGGAATATTCCCTAGAGAAATCTCGCACATGTGCATCTGGAGGTAAGTCCAAGGACATCCACTGAAGCACTGGTTGTAATCACAAAGACATTGGCTCTGTGTAAATGTCCACTGTTGGGGGGAAAAGCATAAATAATTGGTGGTGTTATGTAATGAGGTACCCTACAAGCTCTCAACAGTGAACTAGAGATAGATAAAGCAGCACAATTGCAGCTCAAAAAAGTAAACATTAAATGGAGAAGTGAGTTGCATGTCAGATCACATAACATGTCTGTATTTAAAAAAAAAAACAATGTCATATATTGTTTATGGATATTTATATGTGCAGTACAGCATGGAGCAGAAGGATAATCACCAAACTCATTTTGTCAGCCAGAATAAGTTAAGTCCGTGCTGCTGTGACAAACATTACCCCAAAGCTTAGTGTTATGACAAACAGAATTTATTTCTTGGTTGTGTGACATGTTCATCAGGGTTTTGGTGGAGTTTCTGCTCCACAACAGCTCACTCTGGGACCAGGTTGACCAGCAGCCACCAGATGCCATGGCAGAGGGAACAAGAGCTTGGCAAACAGCCCCCGGATGCCCGTGTGGACATCTCCTTCCCTGTGCCCCTAGGGCTAACTGTGAGGTTGGCCGACTTACCTGTACTCCCAGCCCTCAACCTGCTCTAGGCAGGTAGCTAGTAAATGTTTAATGACTCTGATTTACTCATTTCTCTTTAAATAATGAGCCATATCAGCGCAGGAACTGTATCTTCCTCCCCCTCTGAGCCTTCTTCRGGAACAAGGAAGGAATGTTTGATGAGTGAATGAACAACCATGGCCCTCCTTCTCCAGCCCCAGAATAGGAAACCCACCGTCCTCCCCGCTGTACCGTGAGCCTTCCAGGAGGCTGACAAGGTCAGTTTTCCTGCAGGTTTTTATTCTATTTTTAACACCTTTATTAAAAGCCACTGGTTCGTGTGTGACTGTACACTAGGGTGAACACCTTGTCCCAGTTTTCCAGGGACTTTCTGCACTAAAAGTCCTTGGAAACCCTCAGGCAACCAGGACGGCTGGGTGCCTCTTCTTCTCTACGGGCCTCGTGTTTTTCTCATCTTCATCTGAGCGGGTCGGTCTGGCCTCCCCTGAGCATTTCAGATCTAAGATTTTAAGAGCCAGTCAGAGGGGAAACGGTGRGTCAATGAAGGCAGGCAGACTCGGGCTTTCTGAGATCTTTATTCTTTATCCTCTAGGAAGGGGGTGAGGTCCACACTGCCGGCTGGGCCGTGGAGCTAGTGGCTTGCTATGGTCTGTAAAAACACAAGACAGAGTCTCCTAGTTAGGAGGACAGATTCTGGAATGGGATGGGACTGGGCTCCACTCCCAGCCCTGCCACTCCCCACCCAGTAGGGTGACCCTGGAAGAGCGACTGCACCTCTCTGAGCCCTGGCTTCCTCCTCTCTGTAGCCGGAGGAGGAGGAGGACTGGCCAGGGGCTTCTGGATCCAGCTCTTGGCCAGGTTCCGTTCTCACCCTGGGCCTGGCACTCCTRTCCGCGGGCCGCTACTGTTACCATGAACAATAGTCGTCCTGGCTGACCTCCTGTCCCCACACGAGGGCTGTGCTCTCCCTGGGGCCTGGAGTGTCGCCCGTCCCATGGTGCTCACCACCTTCTTTTTTATTTTATTTATCCATTTGGTATTTGGGGTTGGACCCAGAGGCACTGAGCCGCATCCCCAGCCCTTTCTATTTTATTATTTTTATTTTGAGACAAGGTCTCACTGAGTTGC